TCAAGACTCAAATTATGCCAAGAATCAGTTAACAAAGTACTCTGAAATGGCAGTCAAAGGTGATCCTGAGGAGCTATCTGCAATTCGTGATTGCAATTTGGAAACATTGGATGATAATAAAAGTTTTGAATTTCATGCATTGATGGAAAAGTTGAATCTGAAAAGATTTCAGAAAGAAGAGATCATCAGATGGATCAATGAAAACTACAATGATACTCATCATAATCAGAGTAAGCCTTTTTATGCGTATTCACTACATCATTACATGATAACTAATTCTTCTGTAAATTAGACGTGGCAGAAAAATTAAAGTCCACTTATTTTAATAAAAAACAAATGAGTGAAACGGTACAGCTGAAAGAAGAAGTTCACGACATGTGTGTGAATGGGTGCCAAATGTTCATCGCCGAGGATCAAGAAATGTGTTATCACTGTGAGGAACCCAGGTATCAACTAAACGACAACGGCGTGTTAGAAGCTCGTCAAAAACAAAAGCTTCTGGACATTGACGATTTCATTGCTTCATACTTTGTCTCTGATAAAAGCATGAGATCATTGTTGCACAGATCAGAGAAGGTCCAAATAAGCGACGATATTGTAATGGAAGACTTTTTTGACGGCAAAAAGTACCAAGAGCTTTTAAGAAAAAATTGCTTTCAAAACCAGTATGACATCGCCCTGGCGTTGTATATAGATGGGTTTGTTCGTGGCCAAAGAGGAAAACAGAGCCTCACCATTGTCAAAGCTGTGAACATGAACTTAAGTCTCGATGAAAGGTATTTTAAAGATTAAAATAATTCCATCAAAAATACTAATTGTCATTGTCTATTACAGAGCAAAAAAAGAAAATCAATTTGTTGTCTGCATCATCAAAGGACCCAAAAAACCAAAAGATATCTATAGCTTCTTATATCCTTTATTAATGAAGTTAATTAAAATGGAGTCTGCTGGTGTGATTGTCAAGGCTCACGACAACCAAAAACATCACATCAAGGTGTATACTTGTCTGTTTCTCGGCGATATTCCTGCCATGGCGGATACTTTGTTTCACACTGGCCATACAAGCAAATATGGTTGTAGAATATGTGATATCATGGGTAGTAGTAATGATGGTAAAGGGATGTACTTTAGTCAAAAAAATTTGGACAATGCAGTAATTAGAAGCAATGAAAGTTTTAAATCAGTAGACGAGCGGGTATCTGGGGTAAATGCGACGACAATACTAGTATTCGGCCACTATGACTAATATTTAATTTTATTTGATAACATCAGTTTGAAAACAAAGGGCTCACGAAGGTTACTCCTTTGACCGGATTTACCTCGTTTTCGGCAACATTCGCTGGCCTTGACGAGCTTCATTTGATTGGGCATAACGTATCTAAGCAAATTTGGAAATTTATTTCTGATGACGATAGAAAATATGGTAACAATAACCCATTTCTTTTGGCAAAACGTCATAGAAAAACGCTTGGAATAGCCATGGAAAATTTAGGTACAACTTGCAGAACGAACATTTTTGAAGGGGCATTTTTAAGTATGTAATTGAATTACGCCAGTAAAACAAAAATCGCTAAAGGGAATATTGGTCACATAGATTTGAACACTCGTGGTGGGTATGGACGTGCAGTTGACTGGCAAATGTTTATCTTGTTTCTGGTTCCTACCATTGTTTGTGATATGATAAATATGCAGGCTAATGATAATAAGAGGTATCTGAATACTCCTGGTAGTAGCTTGCGCAGAACTCAATCGTTGATTGGTGACAGTTATGAGCAACATAATTTGGAGATTGAAAATCGATGCAGAGATACTGTTAGTGCTCTTAAAAATTTGTCCAGTGCTTGTGCAATTGCTTTGCAATATAAAATCAGTCAAACAGATATCAGCGAACTCAAAAGGTTAGTTACAATTAGATAAAGGTTTAAAAATACTTAAACCCAATTTTTTTAATATTTGACGGTATTCAGTAAGCTGCAGATATGGATGGATTTTGTCGGAAACACAGACAATATGACACCAAACGCAGTAACAATTAGCCAGCATTATCTATCACATATACCATATGTGATTGAGGAGCTTGGTCCTATGCGCTCGTTCAGTTGTCGACCTTTGGAACGCATGATTGGTATAGTTAAGCAGAAGATAGGGTCATTCTCCAAACCAGCGGAGAATGCATACCAAATCATTCGTACTTTGGCAGAGCAATCTTTTTTGTCCAGAAAAACACCAGCTTGCTCCAAAACATCGCTTACTGGAATCGTTATAGGCAAAGCTAACTCGGAGCATCGGCGTATTGCTGAATTCAGGCACCTTGGTGCCAACTTCCTTGAACAAGTTGAACTACAAGTTCAATGCGAGGAAATTCGAGTTGTTCAAAGTATCACAATGACGGGAAGAGGGTGCAAGCAGTTTTGTGCATCAACAGTAAAAAAAAATTCCAGCATGTTCCTCGCACACTTACCCATTAGTAATTTCGGTGGAACTGAGAAGAAGTACTATGTCGTTCAGCTGGAGTTCATGTTTGTAGCAAAGCCGTTACCAGCTGCGAACATGTTGAACAATGATGTTTTTGCTTGGGCTAGAATATGTTCCAATATTGAGTCAACTGTTGACGGGAATACTGTTTTATTTTATACTACTAGTTCCAACAGCATGCCACTTGCTGCAGAAAGGGATCATATGAGAGTTCTGATTAACACCAATAATATCATCAGTCCCATAACAACAATACCTTCACCAATAGAAGAAAATAAGCACTACCTTGTTTGGCCATCTATGTCATTTAAAAAAGATGTGTGTATAAGCAATACGCCGTTTTGGTTTTAAAAACAAAACGTAACACTCATATATCAGACTTACTAAATAATAATAAAAAAATATTGCAAATGTTAACACTTGTTGGAACACCCCTGAACACCTCAAACGCAAGTGATGAAAAAAAGCTCTTATTTTAACACTCATTTGTCACCTTATACAAAAGTGACCGAATTCACCACCTATTTAATTACCTTTTAACACCTTTCTCTCAAGTGATAACAATTAACACTTATTTTAACACTTATTAGTCACCTTTACCAAAAGTGACGAAATTTAACACTTATTTTAACACCTTTTAACACCTTCATTCTGAGTGGGAGAAAGTAACACTTATTTTAACACTTATTTGTCACCTTTATTGAAAGTGATGGCGAAAAACACCCGAATAAACACTCAAAGTCACTCAAAGTCACTTATTTATTAATTTCATCACTTATTTTTTCCCGTGGTGATCATTGGCAAGAAAGTGAGTGAATATTATATTACCTTAACGAAACCCTCAAAAACGTCTATATTCATTTCATGACATATAACGAGAAGAATAATTAATAATGGTGTGTTTTTTTATATCCATTGATTTTATTACTGTTGAGGATGTCATAGATTATAATAAAAGAATCATCACATTTTTACATAATAATGGATGATCATGTATAAATATTCATGGCTCACACTTCGCCCCATTTGTTATCATCAGAACCGTTGGTGTCTGTGCACAAGGTGATTTGCCTTGTGACGAGTAAAATATTATAATGCCATAAAAGTATAGTACAATCCCATAGGCGGAATATTCAGTTACTGAATATTACACGCACTAAACTTTCTCTTTGGCATTTACGTAATGTCACCTGCGGAGATGGATTTAGATCCTCACGTACTTTGTCTTTACTTTGTAAGGCAGGAATTACTTCATAACATATTTATTTAAACAGACATTACGTATAACATTATATCATATTCCTCTAACGCGTCACACATATTATCCGAAAGCCATCTAATAATTTAGTATAAATACCTGTAGTTTTTGCTAGTAGAATTCCCTAATCTAAATTTTCTCGAAATAAAAGATATACACAGTTCTAACAGTATTTTCTTTTGTTACCTTAATTTACATTTTATCTCCATCCCAAACAATTACCTTGGTTATCTGCAAATAAGGTACACTTTGATTACCTGGGATATATTTATCGCATTTTAAAGAGAAATTAAAGAGAAAGAAGAGGATAAGCTTTTCCTTTTTTTTTTGAGTTTTTATGTTTCAGCCTTTCGTTACACTGCAGATTGTAAAAGATTGAAATAAAAAAAAAACGAAAGCTTGTTTTTCGAGTATTACATTCACGTATCAAACACTTATACCTAAATTATTGACTATGTCTCAATCTGTCTTCCCGGTCAATCCTAGTGTTTCTTTCTGTACGGTTTGTAGGGTAAATTATGCAAATCCTAGCAATCTTTCTCGCCATGAAAAAGAAGTCCATAACCGCGGCAGGAGTCAATATGATGAGTAAGAGTGAACACAGAGACAAAGGCCACTTCTGTATACATAAATATACTTACTTTAATAACATTTTCAGAGCTTCTGGAAATAATTATAGACAAATAGTTGAAGAACCTGATGAAGGTGGCCATTATTTTGACAGTTGCGATGAGGATTTCGAGGATATATACGAATTTCCCGTGGACATTGACAATGAGCCTGCTTCTGACTTCAACGACAAAGAAATGGAGAGTTCCACTGCTAATAGAGGTATATCAGTCTTTGATTCAAATCCATTCTATCCATTCAAAAACAAAATGGAAAGGAAAACATTGTTATTCTTCAAAGGTTCACAGGACAGATTTTCAAACCGAGTGATAAGAAAGACAATGCGCCTGGTGCGCGATTTAATTACCATTTCACATCAAGAAAGGGATTTAATTCAGCCAAGGCCAGAGGGTTTTAATCCTCTTCGTAACGTTCCCAACGATGATCGTATTTGTAAAAGTCACGACCCTAAACGAAAATTTCCTCGACTTGAAGTTGACAAAGCTGAAATCCAAAAAAGCAACAACCGATCTGCAAGTCTACATTATATAAAGCCATCTAATCATTTACGATTGGTTATGGCCAATATTGAAAAAGTCAGATTGTTCAAATCTTTACCAGATTTCACACCTAACCAAAGGTATCATCCAAATCAGGGCTGGAAATGGAAAGACAGCTGTTATTTTCAATCGCATATGCTCCTAAAAGAAATGTCCAAGACCGAAAATGATTTCTGGATCGGTGATTTTGTTAGGGGTGCCAATCACCGGCATAATTACATCCTTGACAGATTCTACACTGCCAACGATCAGGTTTTTGCCAGTGCATTTCTTATGGAGTTTTTCCCAAACGGTAATTCCGCCGCTATTAGTTCAGAAAAGGTTGATATTCCATTATGCAATATTATGCTCTATATGTCCATTATCTAACTTCTGGATTTATGTGAACAGCAATTATGCTCCAAATTAGCTTCTAACGATGGTAATATCTCATATACTCCGTTCAGCCAGTTACTTAATCCACATTGTACCTTGGTCAATAAAAGCCTTACAATCCGAAACCGAGTACCGCGAATCTCTGCAGATCAACAAGTGGCAGTCCGTGTATTACCAATTACATTGTTTTCTGATGACACCAGCGGCAACAGATCAAAAAAGTGGAACTGCTTTGAAAGCTGGATTATGAACATTGCGGCCTTTCCCTTGGATGAAAGTAACAAATACGAAAATCATTTCTTTTTTTGTACCAACAATTACGAAGTGACGGCAATGGAAATGGTCAAGCCATTGACTGATGATTTGCTTAAGTTGGAAAAAGGTCTGGTGATGTATGATGCTGAGCGACAAGAAGACGTGTTCGTAATCGCACCTGTTCTCTTTTTCCGCGGAGATAACGTCCGTCAAGCTGAGTTAGCGTTGAACAAAGGGTCAAGGGCTAATCACCCTTGTAGATTTTGCTACTGGCAGTCTGACCCTAATAAGCCTTTGACAACAGGTAAGACACCTGTGGCATTGCGCTACACTGCTGATACATACATGGCGGAAAGAAGAACTCTTGAAGACTTTAAGGATTTTGTACATCCGGATAAGCTTGTGCGTATCAATTTCGTTCATCTTCCAAACAAAGGACGTGTTACGAATCAAGGCGCGATACAAGGTCCAGGAGTATCGAACAATTGGAGTGATTTAGGCTTTAAAATGACAGGAGCAGAGGAATTGCTGAAACTTAAAGCGGTAGATTTATCGCAGGATCTACCCGTAGAAATTCTTCATACATTACTCTTGGGAATGACCAATTATTGTTTTAAGATTGCTCACGATCATTTTTTAAACGATAGTCAACTCAAAAAGCTTACAGAATTATTCAGAAACTATAATTCAAAGGCGTTACATCGTAATCTCACTTCTTCTTTGAGCGCCTATCGTTCTTACCTTGGTAGAGACTTTAAGATTCTTGTGCAGCTTTTTCCTTCGATTTTACAGAAAGCCAACTTCCAGGACCCTAACATGTTTGCTGAAAACCATGATTCTTTTGTGTCAATGTACTAGTGCTTCAACAATTTGTCATTGCTTGCCTCCTTGGTTTACATGAAAAAGATTGACAATTTTAATTATTACAAACATATCCTAAACAACACTGTGTCAGAGACAATAAGATCGATGGATAATTTGCACCATACCACTGTTAGTAGAAGAAGAACAGTTGCTGGAGGGGGGCAGGCTATTTCGATGATGAAATTCTCATCCATGTGTAATCGATTGAAGTCTCATCTTCTAATTCACTTATCACAGGATATTGAACGCTTTGCTGGTGGCCCTCATACAGAGACGGAAAGATGTGAGCAACAACATAAGTTTATGCGTGAGTTACTATGCCACACAAATAGACAAAATGGTGGAAGAGATGTTGCTGTAAGATTTGCAGAAGAGTATATGCTTCGCCATATTAGTCAGGGCCGATTGTTTGTTAAGGATACTTCATCTCCAGTTTGGGAATCATGTGGTATGAGTGTCACGCAATCGTTTGATCCAACAATCTTTGAAAGCGAGCTTGAATTGTTAGACAACAATAACAGTCAAAGAAAATTAGTAGTCGGACTTGCAGGAGTGTTCCGTAATATTAACAGTTCCAAGACAAGCGGCCTTACTTTGGGTAAGATAGTATCACAAGCAAACGATAAAAGGTTCCTGGTTGAAGCGTACGATTTCGTAGCTAATGCAGCAATTCCAGAAGATCCACAGAACGGCATTTATGAAAGA